AATTAATAAATTTATACATATAAATATACGCATATGCATATAGACACGCGAGCTTGTGTGTGTAAAAAGTATTATGATATATATAATATTTTACTTGCAATCTTATTGTTCCTATATATTTCTTCTACAAAAATAACATTTAAAATCTCATCAGCTGGGAATGAAGACTTTAATATTACATATGCAAAGTTAAAAAAAATTTAAAAAAAATCAAAGATTTTTACATAATCGTTAATAAATCTTTTTGCTAAAGTGAGATGACGAATAGAGTATGTTTTTGTTAGATAATAGAAAACATGATGTTGCGTCTTTGAAATGATAAGGAAATCATTTAATTTATAAGGAAAAAAAAGAACAAGGTAATAATATATTATATATTTTAATTTTTTGTGCATACATCGATTTGTCTTTAATGAAACTTTTTATAAATCGAAAGTTATACTGTATTTAATATTATGTAATTAAAGTTATATATTTATTCTTTCAGTAACGACAAGTTGTAAATACATACACACATATATACGCGCACACAAATACATACACGTGTTCAAGACAATCGTTATAAATGGTAAGAATCCGATTGGGATTTCCAATTAGCAAATTTCAAAATGTGTGGTATTTACCCTTGTACAAAGAAAATAAATAACAACGAGTTTTTCTTATTACAGTGTGAAAGTTCAAAGATAACGTTAAAGCTGGAACACAGAAATGTTTATTAAAGAAATGTTTTAAAAATTGAAAATTGAAAATTTTTTTCTAAAAATCAGAAATTTCTATATTTTTTATTAATATACATATCATACAGAGTAACATTTAACAGCTACAATAAAATTCGTGTACTAATAATAACAATTATCAATTTTATTGTATTATTCATAACTGACTTTATCGTATTTCTTGAAGATAGAAGCCGTAAACAATTAAATGGATTTTTTATCCTATTTATTAATTTTTATAATAATAAGAAGAAAAAAAAAGATAATTTTCGAATTATTTCTTTTATAAAATATCAGGTTTGGAATGAGAAAAAATTGGCCATATATATATATATATATATACATATAT